ATCTCTCCAAACTCCCCACAGGTTTCAGACCTGGGCAAATTTGAGACACGAGGAAACCCAGGAGAGTCTGCCGCCGTGCAGCCAGCAGCACAGTGGAGAGTGCCAACGGTGAAAACGTGCGCCGTACAAGCGCTTCCCCAACTTACAGAACACGCGCACTGTGGGGTAGGGCAGCAGGAAGGAAGCACCGCTAAAAACAGCCGTCTTTGTTTTATCAGAAAAGAGTGCCTCAGTTCTCAGGAACAATGCAGTAGGATGCCAAGTATCACAGCATGTGCTACATGAGCTTTATCTCATCCAGTGTCAGCCGCACGCCACCCCTGGGAGGCTCACTGCCGGAGGCGTCGCCCGTCTCTAACGCAGCTTGCTTTAGACGCCTCCGTGACTTTGTGATGTGTTCAAGTAAACTAGGATATTTTCAGGTGGCCTCCCACTACATTCGGGTCATATTACATCACCAGGCCTCGAGGTCCCGTCCCGACATCTTGTAATCAGACCTCATGCGTGCGTTTTAACGCCCGGCATAAAACAAGCGTGTGGATCTCTGCTTTCAGAAGGATACCGGGGGCCATTAGATCTCGACAGGCAACCAGGACAAGGGCGACGGATCAGTCATGGGAATAAAGTGATTGAACCTGGGGAGGGACGAGCTACAAAAACGACCCTGTCAGCAAGTCATCCCATAAAACAGGATCCAGACACATTTACAGCTGCTCTGCATCAAAACTCTGTAGCACAGTTGTAAGGATTTAAAACCTTGTAGCATTACTTGGCAACCTCCAGAACATCTTTCATTCCCTCAGGTCTTAGAGTCACTGAACCCCTTACCCCTCACCCTGTTATGTTTATTCCAAGATGTGCTTGAATACACTGGGGCAGTTTGACCGTCACACGCAGCCCAAGAGACTGGGAGGGATCATGGGCTGAAGCCCAGCCTGGGTGTGTTGGCGACTCCTGGGATGGGTAATGAGACTCTTTGGATGGGGTGGTTAACATTAATGGCACGTTTGTTATATATGTTTAATCCTGAAGTAGCCATCGTTTTACGATTGATTCTTGCTGTGAGTCAGTATGCTTTGTGGGCAAATGCAGTATAAAATTAACATGATTTTTAGTCATTTTCGGGACTGTCAGTCTGCATGGGATGGAAAGACGAGAATAATTGTGTTTTTCTTCTGGACCTGATCACTCATCTGGTAAAGAACCGTGAAAAGAGGGCTAAGTGGAAGGCCCCCTCCCACTCCAACAAAGACCCCTAGAGGAGCGCCTAGGGATTGCACGTCAAATTACGAGGGAGACACACAAATGTTAAAGGCCTGTGTTAAAGATAATCCCATCATATGCTCTACTCCACTGGCTCACTAATGGCAGCTGTGCACAATGCCAAGCAGCAGCTGGGACACTCCCATGGGGAGTGAGGGGGTGGGGGGGGTACCAGTGTTTTATCCCCATCCGGTTCAGCGTGGTTCATACAGCGTCAGTTTCTGTGAAAAGGAAAAGGAAGAACAAATGCAGAAAGCAGGATCGCAGTGTGATGTATGGGCTGTGTGTGAGGAGTGTGCTGGACACAATGTCACAGCCAGGAGCTATGCTGATTACAGGCCACACCACTCAAGGCCATGGCCCAAGGCAGCATGTATGTGTGTGCGTGTGTTGGTAGGGTGTATCTGAGCGCGCATGTGTTTGTAGGGTGTATCTGAGTGTGCATGTGTTGGTAGGGTGTATCTGAGCGTGCATGTGTTGGTAGGGTGTATCTGAGTGTGCATGTGTTGGTAGGGTGTATCTGAGTGTACATGTGTTGGTAGGGTGTATCTGAGTGTGCATGTGTTGGTAGGGTGTATCTGAGCGTGCGTGTGTTGGTAGGGTGTATCTGAGCGTGCGTGTGTTGGTAGGGTGTATCTGAGTGTGCATGTGTTGGTTGGGTGTATCTGAGTGTGCATGTGTTTATCTGGTTTCTTTTTAGGGGTGTAAAAGAGAGGCATTGTTTATGGTTAAGCTGCCCTCAAACTGTGGTCCTGGGTGGCTGACGGTGGCACTCTTCCTTCTTCCCGCCTTTGGAAGTGTGACAGGCTGAGGGCTGCTATTTATTCTCGTAATGGTGACTTTTATTTTCCGTCTTATTCAAGCTCTGCCAAGAGTCCTTTAGTTGAGTTTGTGTTCAAAACCACATTTAAAAAAAAGCATTTGTAAATATTCAGTGGGTCGATTAGTACCGGGGTGCTGACAGCGGGGGGCACCACGAGAACAGATCCACCCCCCTCACTGCTGGCCCATCCCATCCATACCCATGTCCTGCTCCCAATGGTGGGACTTTGGAAAATTAATTACAGGCCGTGAGGAACAGCCCTGGCTTGGGTGGATGAGGGCCACAGCTGCTCTTGCTGTGCATTTTCTCTGAGATCTCTGTTATTTCAGGGTGTGGGTTTCGTGAGGGCCAGGCCATAGGAGCAAACCACTTCCAGGGGAGGGGTGGAGAGAGAGAGAGAAAGAGAAAAAGATAGAGAGAGAAAAGGAGAGGGGAGAGAGAGAGAGATCAAGCAGAAAAGGCTCATGCCTGCCCTTTGCGCAGGAGATACAGCCACGTATGACGGGGTTTGTAAAAATCCCATCTCCCACTCTGGTTCTGCCATGTCAGCCATCAAACTGCAGCAACCCTAGTAGTGCAAATAAGTTTTTAACTTTGACATGTTAAAACAGCAAGCCCCCCCCCTCCCCCCCACCACCACCACCAAGCAGTCACAGGCCCCCCAGAGCCTGGGCAGAGTGCTGCCTGTCAGCTCACGATGCCCCCACCCGCTTATATGGAGAACACATGGTGATGATCCTACCTGAGTGTTCAGCA